CCTGTTTTCCCCGTCTCTGATCCTGGACTCTGAGATAGCAGCAATGTCATAAAATGTGTTCCCATATGACCGTCAAGAAAGCTTTACCCTCTTCTGGTGGACTGAGGCCAAGCCATTGTAACCTAGCCCTTTGTGAGGTTCAGGCTGGACAACACGACTACCACAACTGGGGTCAACTGTGAAGGCCTCTCACACATTACAGCTACGTAACACAAAAAATTGCCAATGGGGGAAAAACATGCCTAAATTAATTAAAGCCATGAAATAGAATGGGAGAGTCAATATACAGTTAAATTCCAACAAGTCAAATCCTTTATATTGTGCTGCAAGTTTACACAGTGCTTAGCAGTAGGTAATACTAAAGCAAAAACTGAATAACTGCCCCCAGAGATCAGTATTATTATAGTTCTGTTTCATTGCAGAGTGGAGGACAGGGTGTTGAGGAAGAGGATGTTTTGAAATTGACGAACAGCGGAGTGGGAACTGGCTTCTCAAGTTGGGCCTCTAAAATTTTTGCAGCATCAGCCACATAAAAACAAACTGTACTCTCCCTTACAAATCACATGTATTAGAGCTGAGTCCAGGAACAATATTGTTACATTATTGGCTGTCTGCCAATCCACAACATCCCAAATGGGCAGAGGCCAAGCAGTCTCCTCCACACACACCCTGAAAGGCAGAAGCATTCAGTGAGGTGCTGCCCCACGGCCCAGAGCCCTTCACTGGGCTCCCCACCTTCCTCTGCAGAGGCAGAGAATTAGGCTGAGCCATTGTAACCATAATGCATCCCACTGCCTCCCTAGCACAGTGGCAGGGGCTTCCCGGCCTCCACTTCACACGGCACCTTCCAACTGGGAAGCGGTTGGTTTGGAGGAGCGAAATCCTCCGGTCAGGGAGGAGCCCTGCACGCGACACCCTTTTCTGCGGTGCGCCCCGCCACGCCAGGGCCAGGTACCTCAGAAACACGGGTCAGAACAGGCCCCGCTGGCTGCCTGCAGATCCGCTCACTGACCGTACGGCCCAGCCACCGCGACTCTCCCCTCGCTGAAGGGGCGTGGGGGGGGGGAACTGGGACTCCCTAAGAAGCTCTCTGCTGTAGCAGGCGGAGGCCAGGCCCGAGCGAGACAGGCTGAGATGACGGTTTCAGCGGCAGCCCCCCCACGCCTCTTTCCAGCAACGGCCCAGCCCCCAACGCCCATGTGTCGCGACCGTTGCTCCCCCACCCCCTCGGGTGGCGCTGGCGCAGCAGCGGGCGGCTCGAGAGGGGGCGGGGGAACGTTCCTGTCAAACTGAACGTTCTGCGCTGCTGCGCTCAAAACGCTAACGGCCGCTGCGCCGCGCCTTCAGCGCCTCTCCCCAGAGAAAGGCGCGCGCAGGCTTCTCTCGCCGCAGCCCAAGTCGGGGCGTGAGGCGCTTGCCCCCCCTTCCCCATAGTTTACCTTCCACCCAGGCGGCGGCTCCTCCTCCCTTCAGTGAGACCAGAGTAGGTGCCGCTCTGCTCAGGCGCGTCCTCAGCCCGCGGGGGAGGAAGGAGGGAGCGTTTTGGCGCTTCCCACCGTTCACAGGCTGGCTGCGGCAGAGTCTTTGAACTCCCCTAGCGGGGGGGGGGGGGGTATCGGCCTCAGCAGACTGGCCCAGCTCTGCCAGTGCCTGCGTGCGGGGAGCCTGGCCCCCTGCCCGGGGCACGCCCGGCCCGCCCAACCGCGCCGGAGCTCCAATGGGGAGAGAGCAAGACTGGCGAGACCTAGCCCCGGCTCCCCCAGCCGTCTGGCCCTGTTAGATGGCTACCAGCTCTTGGCTGCAGGCTCAGGGATGGATGTTGCCACGGCGCACCCTGTGCCATGGGAGGGGGCATCCCCTGGGCTCTGGGGTACAGTCAGCGCCTCTCAACACGTTCCCTTCTCCCGGGGTCGAAATGGTGGGTGAAGCCCAAGTTAGAGCAACTCCAAATGTGGGTGGGGGCTACAAACAATGTATCCCCCCAAGAAACAAAATGCTGTAGGGTGCCAAGGAAACAGCTTTGGTAACAAGGAATGGGAGGAGCACCACTTAGGGGTGGGATGTAGAGCCCAGCCCCAGATGATCCACAAGGTGTTTAGGCACCTAGCCCCCCGATTTAGGAGCCAGTGTCCCAGCTTTAGGAAGCACTGCGATCCATAAACCCCCCACTCAGCTGATGCCCAACCCTGTAGGCACGTAAACTCACTCAGCGCCTAAATTTTTGCTGTAAAAGTTCCTTAAGTGCCTGTGTGTCAGCCTCTGGACATAGAATCAGGGAATCGTAGCACTGGAAGGGACCTTGAGAGGTCATCTAGTCTGTTCCCCTGCATTCAAGGCAGAATTAAATATTACCTAAACCAGGGGTAGGCAACCTATGGCACACATGCCAAAGGCGGCACGCGAGCTGATTTTCAGTGGCACTCACACTGCCCGGGTCCTGGCCACCAGTCTGGGGGACTCCGCATTTTAATTTAATTTTAAATGAAGCTTCTTAAACATTTTAAAAACCTTATTTATTTTACGTACAACAATCGTTTAGTTATATATTATAGACTTACAGAAAGAGACCTTCTAAAAACGTTAAAATGTATTACTGGCACGCGAAACCTTAAATTAGAGTGAATAAATGAAGACTCAGCACACCACTTCTGAAAGGTTGCCGGC